TACCAGTACCGAGGTATCCATGGGCTTTTCCATGGCCCACATCCCTTGGGATTGGGCCTCACTCATCCCTGTCCTCAGGAAAAACAGGAATTACCATCCTTTACCATCCCTGCTGCTGCATCCCATTTTATTCCTCCAGAGGGCATTAAAACTCCCCTTTCCCTCCTAACCCTGCCCTGGAATCGGGAGTTGCTCATTCCAGGCTCTGTTTTCCAGTGTTTGGATCCTACACGGATGTGACTCCCAGGCAGTTCTTCAATGTCCAGGTGAGCAGCACCTTTGGAATCACTTTGGGGGGTGGGATGGAGCTCCAGGAACCTCTTCCAGAGGACAGGATGGGGAAGTGGGAATATTCCCTTCCCTTTGTACCATTTACATGACCCAGAGCTGATCCCAGTGGATTATCCTGTGCTCCAGGTAGGTTTTGCTGCCGGAAGTGAAGGATTGGGCTGCAGGATCCCAGTGGATTCCTGATCCCAAGTCCTTCTCTCCCAGCTTCCATACTATTTCAGGATAATAATAATTCCCTGCCTGCCCATGACACTGAATATTCCTATGGGAGATAGGGGGGAAAAAAAAGAGGGATATTTCCCTCCCTTCATTCCCCTCTGCTGGAATTTCTGCTGACTTGGCTTCTCTCTCTTCCCAGCTGGACACGGAATATCGGAAGAAATGGGATTCCCTGGTGATCAAACTGGACGTGATCGAGCGGGACGTGGCCACGGGCTCTGAGGTGATTCACTGGGTCACCCACTTCCCGGTGAGTCCCCGCCCATCCTGGGATCTGCCCTGGGCAGGGCCGGGAGCGGGAGCTGATCCCAGTCCTGGGGCCCTTCCTGCAGTATCCCATGTATTCCCGGGATTACGTCTACGTCCGGCGCTACAACGTGGACAAGGAGAACAACCTGATGGTGCTGGTGTCAAGGTGGGTGTTCCTGGAGGGAATTCCCAACATTCCCATCCCTAAAGATCTACTGGGAGCTGGGTATAAACTCACTTGACTTCACTGACCCCCATCGATCCTGCCGATTTTCATTTGGGTAATAAAACAGCTGGTTTTTTTGGGGAAAAAAGGCCTTTTTTTTTACCCCCCACCTCCAAAAAATGGGTGAATTCTGGGTGTAATTCTCACCATGAGCTCACCTTGAGATGCTCCTCCTCCTCCCAGAGCTGTGGAGCATCCCAGCGTTCCTGAGGATCCCGAGTACGTCCGGGTGAGGACCTACGAGTCCCAGATGGTGATCCGACCCCACAAAACCTTTGATGAGGTAAATCTGGGAAAGGGGGCAGAAAACCTGGCATGGGAAGGATCCTCCTGCTGCTCCAGAGGGAGCTGCTCCTTCTCCTGTCCTGGGGGCTGGGGGCAATAATCCAAACATTGGGAAAGTCCAGCCTTAAGGGTTGGATTTGATGATCTTTAAGGTCTCTTCCAGCCCAAACCATTCCATGATTTATGGGAAGGGGATGAGTTATTTTTCCAAAGGCAAGGGAAACACATCCATGTGGGGCTTGGGAAGGATTTGCAGCTCTATCCCACTATCCTGGGACTTTTCCTTCAGGAATTTGGTGCTCTTGAGGGAGCCAAACACTCCCTTTCAGAGCCTTTAAAAAGCCATGAGCCTCCCAAGTATCATTCCAAGCACTAAATCCTCTTGGAAAAAGCCTTGTGGGGTATTCCCAGGCCATCCAGAGCCTGGATAGAGCTTGGAATACTTGAGGAATTTCACCCACTCCTCCCAAACTCCCTCCTGGTAGGATTTCCTTGAGTCTTTCATCAGTGCTCTCAGAGGCTCCGGCAGCTTTTCCCATGGGATATGAGCAGGGAATTCCTGTCTCTCCGGGGTGGCTCCAGCAGGCATTTGGGATGGGCTGGGGATCCCAGGAATGTTTGTCTCCCCCAGAATGGGTTCGATTACCTGCTCACCTACAGCGACAACCCCCAGACCGTGTTCCCGCGGTACTGCGTCAGCTGGATGGTCTCCAGTGGTGAGTGCCCGGAATTCCCTTGGGATACTCCCTCCAGAGGGGCCCCCTTCCCTTCCCACTCCAGAGCAGGGAGAGGGGTACATGGAGAGGCTTAAAAAGTGACATTATGGGGGCAAAATGGGGAAGGAAAAAAAAAACTGGGAGGGACAGGAAGAATCAGGAGGGAAAGGAAAAGTTTGGAGGGAAAGGGAAAATTGTGAAGGAAAGGCAAAATTAGGAGGGAAAGGAAGAACTGGGAATAAGAAGAACCTGGGGGGAAAGGAAGAATTGGGAGGGTAAAGAAAAAAATTGGGAAGGACAAGAATCAGGAGGAAAGGAAAAATTAGGAGGGAAAAATCCAGGAGGAAAAGGGAAAATCAGGAAGGAGAAGAAGAATGAAGAGAGCTGGGAACGGAGGAGGGGATGGAGTGGGAGCCTCTTCCCTTGGCAGTCACAGATCCCAGCAGGCTCTCCCTCCACCTTTTCCCAGGAATGCCGGATTTCCTGGAGAAGCTGCACTCAGCGGCCCTGAAGGCCAAGAAGATGGAGCTGGAGGTCCGGGATTACCTTTCCAAGGGCTCGGACACAGCCCCAGAGCCCTGTGGCCCTGCCCAGCTGGAATACGCCTGAAGAGCTGGAATTCTGGAAATTGCCTCGGACAGGGACCCGTGCTGTGGGATTTCAGCCCCGTTTTCCCTCCCCAGCCCATTCCCGATGCTCAAGGACAGGGATTTGTTCCCCCTGCTGCGTGTGCATGGTGGAATCTGCATCTCCTGGTCAATGGTTCCTCATCCCAACAAGAGAAAAACCATGGAATTCCCACTTCTTCTGGCAGTGGGTTCTCCCCACTCCTTGTCCCTGCTCAGAATGGAATGTTTTCAGGATGCAGTGGCACCGCAGGGATTGGTGATGGTGCTCCACGTCACCATTTTGGGGGGTTTTGCCCTCCAAAACAGCTCTTCGACCTCCTCATCCCATTGGGATTACTAGGACTGGGGGGTTGGGATTACTGGAAAGAGGTGTTTGAACTGATGAAACGGGGGAAAAAAGGCAGTTTTGGGGGGGGGTTTAGGAATTGGGAGGCACCCTGAGCCCCATCCCCAGTTTGGGGGTCTCCGTCGACCTTGGGAATCTGGGAAAACAGCAGGAACAGAAAACTACTTAATAAACATCTAGGATCTTCATTAGCTCCTAATTAACGACCCCCCCCTCTCCCAGTCACCAATTTGGGGGGAGGGGTTGGCCCCCCCCCTTTAATCATCACTATAAATTCTCACTTGATAATAAATTTATCCTAATTTTATCATCCCCTTTGGAGCATCCAATTTTCACCTTCCCCCCCTTCCCAAAATTCACTCCCCCCAGCCGAATTAGCACCATTAATTAGTGAGGAACCATCTCCCTCACACATGGAATTTTAGGGGAGTTTCCAGTGGGTCTAATTTTTTCAGGGGGGAGAGGGGGCTTCCAGTGGATCCCACCTCCCCATAGACTGGAACTCTGGGGAGAGGGTTTAGGGTTCCCAAATCCCACCCTGACCCTCCTCCCCAGAACTGTTGGGATCTGGGAATGCCAGTGGTGGGACACACCTTTATTGCACACAGAGAGCAGCAGGCAGCGGGCGCGGGGTGGGGGGGTGGGGCTGGGGGTCCTGGTGGGGGTTACAGCCCCCCCAGCTCTCTTTCTGGGAGAGGGAAAGGGGTGTTTTCCCTGAGTTTCCCCATCCTGAATCCCCCCCAGGGTGGCTCAAACTGGGGGAGGCCCAAGGAATCTCGTACTGGGACCCCCCAAAGAACCTCGTACCGAGGGGTCCTGGGGGTGGGTCCCTGGTGGGATTTTATCCTGGGGGGTCCCCCTGGTGGGATCTTCATCTCTTGGGGTCCCCCCAGGGGGTCACAGCAGGTTTTTGTTGCGCTTGGGGACGATTTTCCTCACGGTCCTTCGCTCTGAGATGTTCCTCCGGACACGGACGGTGGGGCCTGGGGGGTGCTCAGGAGCCAGCGAGGGGCTCGAGTGGGCCTTGGTCAGGGTAGGGGGGTCCGGGGGGGCCCACCCTGCCTGCGCCTCCCACCCCTCCAGGTCCCGGGCGCCCGAGTTCAGCCACGTCTCCAGCACCTGCACGTAGGTCTCATAGCGCCGGCGCTGGGGGGACAGGGGTGGCGGTCACGGACAGGTCACCTCCCGGGATCACCATCCCTGTCCCCATGTCCCCTCCTGTCCCCAGGGTCTCTGTTCCATAGCAGTGTCCATCCCATGGGAAAAATAGGGGTGGGGATGGACCACCACCACCATGGGGACATTCCTGGTGTACTCGTGTCCATGTGTCCCCCCCATCCCTGGGATCCCCCTGCCCTATAGTGGTGTCCATCCCGTGGGAAAAATAAGGATGGGAATGAGCTGCTATCACGGGGACATTCCTGGTGTCCCCAGTGTGCCCCATGTCCCACAGTGGTGTCTCCACCATAATGAAGATAAGGATGGAGATGAGCTGTTGCTGTGGGGACGTTCCTGGTGTCCCCCACGGAGAAGAAAAGGTTTAAAATAAGAAACCACCCTGGGGACCTCCCCAATGTCCCTGATGTGTCTGGTATCCTGGTGTTCCCCCTGTCCCCACCCACCTCCTCCAGCAGGAATTCCTTCTTGACTCGATACTCGTCCAGGTCCCGGGCTCGGCCTCGGCCCTCGGGGAGGTGCCTCTGGTGCTCCAGGAGCTCCTGCCCCACCCGCTCCAGCCACTGCTCGTGGCATCGCAGCTGCTCCTCCTGAGGGGAGACCAGGGCTGACCCCCACCCACCCACCGGGGGGCACGGGGGAGACTGGTGGGCACCCATGGGTGTCACCCCTATTTGGGGTCCCAGGGGTCTCACCGGGGGGCTCCTGCTGGGCGCCGTGGGCAGGATGGGCCTCACGAAGCGTCGCTGGGACCCCACGGCCGCCGGGAACGGAGGGGAGGAGAACAGGGCGGCCACGAGATTGATCCGGGAAATCCAGGACAGCATCTCCTCGGAGGTGCTGCATCGTGACATCACCAGTGACGTCACCAGTGCTGTCACACCCTGCAGGGACCCCCCCTGTGGCCCACCTTCCCCCAGGTCACTCACGGCGCCTGGAACAGGAACAGCCTCCGCTCGGCCGTTTGCAGCCGGAACACGTGGGGCCGTTTGGTGTATTTGGGGGCCCTCTCAGCCAGGGCATGGTGGACCCCCAGGGGCTCCTCAATCCCCCCACCTTCCTCCGGGGGAGCCCCGGGGGATCCCGGCTCCGAGGGGCGTCGGGAGATCCCCCGGGCCCCACTCCCGGCCTTGAGGAAGAACAGGAATGTCCCACGGAGAACAGCCTGGAAGGGTTTCCAGCCCCGGCGGCCCCAGGGAGCTGGGAACGGCGGGATGGGGGTGGGA